CAGTATTGCCAACATTGACCTCATCGAGTCCACCAAGATTAATAAGCCTGGGATCAAGGATGCAGGTCCCTATCACATTCAGGCACATATATCCTCATATGCAGTAATATATTCAATGGTAGATCCACCTGGTATACCATCAAGGTTAAGATCAACATGAATAACTCCATTTGGGAAAACAATAAAAGGGAAGGGATCCACTCGCCTCAAGAAGAACGACGACCACAATGAGGTATATATGCTCATACCTGTTTATTATTACATTTACATTTGTTGTTTATGTATAATTACCGTAAAACTATTTGGACCAATTTAGTTTTGTTTTGACAGGATGAATGATAGCAAGACTAGCTTAGGACCAGTCATTTATTTACATAGCTTTTTTGTTACAGAAGCACAAATAGCTAAGAATTACAGCCCTTGTACTGTGGACAAAGGTACTACAGAAAAATAGCATAGAACCAAAGAAAGATTAGAATTAACTCACTCTTAATGCAACTATTTTCATGAAAAACAATACTATCATTGAACCGAAGGATCCAGGTGCGGGTGTCGTTCCGAGATATATCCAGTAGCCCCACAGTCGAAGAAGCTGAAGCGGGCGGTGCTGTGACGGTGCATAACAACACTCTAGGGCTAATAACTTAAGGTTCAGTGCGAGGGAAACAATTGTGTAGAATGCCCTATCGTTTGATGTGATATATGCCTAAGAGATTAGGAGTCCTTGATTGTAATGTGCCAATTCTTAAAGAAAGCAAGGAGTGAAGTAGAAGCTTCACCATTTGAGCACCAAGGACGTATCATTGACTACAATGTTCATCAGGTTGCTTAGAAGAGATATGAGCAAAAGTATTATCATTTGTAAATATTCTTTTCAAGTGAGATGAGCAGCAGTACCAAGATAGATAACAATGTTAAAGTATCTTCAGATTTTTTTTTTCATTTTTTTGATAGAGTTGGATTTATTTGGATATGATTTTCCATGGTGGGGAGAGATGGCGACGGCGTGGGGTGAGTAGGTTGGGGGAATGAGATATGAGTGTGAGCAATGTGTTGTGGGGTGAGAGAGTGAATCGCCTTTTTTAGATAAGAAGAAAAGGAGTTGTTGATTGCTTTTTTAAGGGAAAAGCCACTATTTGCTTTGAAAGAAATGTCACACATTTTTTATAGTGAATAATATCACGTATCCTAATAAGTCATTTCTATGGAATAATTACCAACAAGTGATTCAAAGGTGAGCCATTATCGAAATTGGATGTGACCCACTCTAATAGAAGGCACAATGCCACTCACTTCGACTAAAAATGTCACATGCTGTTATCTAGCAGCTGACCGATGAATATATCTTTACTTTTTCGGGTCAGAGTTTAAAATTGATGGCTTCGGATGATGCTTTGATGGATTGGATTGCGATCTCGTCGAGTTCTACACAATTAGAAGAGGTGCATACAAATAATTGTTATTTTTGTATATATTTTGCACATGATAACACAAAAGGTATATTTCTACATATATGTTATTATTGTAGGGGATGAGAGAGATAAAGATGTATTATGTCGACGTTTAAAAACATCGACAAGGGTCCCTAAGCGATGTCATTGAAAGGCGCAAAAATATCATCAAGTTTTATACACCAACATGAAAAAAAATATTAAAGGCCCATGGCAACGCACGGGCATTATACTAGTACAAAGTAGAGGCACACCCACAACACTACACACAACTCTCAAATTATCACCCATCGTATATTAGAAAAACCACCTACTGTTCTCTATTTCGTCAATCTCAAAGACGGCACACTGCTCTCCGTTTTACATAATGTCTATCCATCACAACCATTCAAGTTTCATTATTCACCCATATGTATGTGAAAGAAGATTTAAAAGGTCAACCAATGTGTGCTAAATAGTTTTCCTCTTTTGTAGATGACATGGACAACTCGACAAAAAGATGTTATAATTCACCACTGATGTCTTCTTATACATGTTTGTAATAAAGATAGTATTTTCTTAGCGTTTGCGCATCATCTACATTGAGGAAAGAACTACATGTTCAAGCCCTTTCAAACTTCATATTAAAGTAGTACTCGTGTTGTTATATGTTCTTATTATGCTTTCTCTTAGCAAAGCAGGGGAAAAATAGTCGAAAGATGAAAATTTCGAATTGAAGACCCTAACCGCCACCCTCTAGAGCCTACCCACAAACGTTGATGGGGTGATGGCGATCCCCGTTATACGTGGGGTCTACTATTGCGATGGTTCGATGGGATTCGGTCCTCTGTATTGATCTTTACATGTATATTGGTGGTTGGATTTCTCGATGTACAGTGCCGACGAGAGCTGTGATGACACAAATATGAGGAGTTTGATTGCGGCTCTTGACTAAATTTTTGAGACATAGAGTCTTGGACAAATGGGTCGATGAACTTCTCTACTCTTTTTTATCTCCATTCAGCATGAGTGGTGATTTATGAAAAAACAATAACCTTGTTTTTATATATACAAATCAATAAAAGCTAAGTCATGTTGTTAATGATAATCGGAGCTGTCAACTGAGGAGGCGAGGAGCACGAGTGGCCACACGATCTTAGAGCTCTGACGGCTCAGATTTCACAAATCATCATCTCCCCCACAAGACTGAGAGCATTACTAGTAGAACCCTCAAACCCTCAAATCCTTAAAACACTTTTAAGGGTTGAGAAGTGCCACTTTTTAACACTTTTAAGGGTTGAAAAACAGGGGCAAATACTAGAACCCTTAAACCCAACCCGTAAACTGCTTTAAGGGTTGGATTTGAGGGTTCTAGTCTTTGCCTCAACCCAAACCTTTAAATCTATCATTTGACATCTCACAATTTATGACAACAAGAACACAATCAACTTCCAAACAAACTACCAAATGACAATCATTGATGCATGGTTTAATAGTTTACATCACAAAATCATCATCTTCCTCCTCTCATCGGCACCATCACCAAAAGTTGCACCTCCGCGCCATCTCCTAGACCACAAGCGGGCTCCATCAAGCATCTCCATCGGCACCGGTGGAGTCGTACACACCGCCATCACCACAACTACTCATCGGAGTGTCACCTCGAAAAGTAGAGGACGCAACACGGAACATCCTCTTCCTCTCCGTGATGTCTTCCTTGTAGTCCTTCCACCATTGCAATTGGTCTTGATCCATGTCCTTCTTGGACATCATCATGTGCTCTTTCTCTTTCACCATGAGTTCTTTCCATACCTTTGCCTCTTTGAGCTTGATCATCCTCTCCTCCAACTCGGCCTTGCGCTTTGCTTCTTCACGTTTTGCTTCAACTTGTGCAAGCTTGACCTCTTTCTTCTTCTCGGTGATAAGAAGCTTCATCTCCAATGTCTTCGTTGTCAATTCCTCTCTTGCCTTCATCATGTGGTCCATCTTCTCGCCTCTTCTTCCATCTTCACCCTTAGCTTGCCCTTCTTGTTTCCCTCGGGCTTGCCCACGTTCCTCTCCTCCTCATCTTCACTATCGTCCATCCTTAGCATTGCCGACTTCTTAGGTGCGGTCTCTTGATCCCTCAACTTCCACTTGTCAAAGGTTTGAAGAATTGACCAAACATGCTTAAATGGGAATGGCTTGCCCTTGGAAGCGGCCATATCCTTGTACCTCAAGCCGGCAATTGTCTCCTATCAACCACACATAAATCACATAAGAACCCACCAATAGCATAGTGCACACACATAATCAAAATAGTGAAGAAATATGTACTCACATAGTCACTCTCCACGGTTCCACTAGGTGGTGCATCCCTCACTTGGTCCATGGCCGCACTCCAACGAGAACAAGCGGGCTTGATCAACTCCCACCGGCCTTGAAGCGACCGGAAAGTGCGATGGATGAACCCACTATTCTTCGGCTTGATCCTACAATAGACGTCCTCGATCCTTTGCCAATACAGTTTACCGGTTTGATCGGTGCCGGTGGTAGCATCCATTCCCACAGCTGCCCAAGCACGAACCAAGAGGACATCTTCCGCCTCGGTGTAGTTTGTCGACCGAGCGTGTGGGCGGGAAGCGGCGGTGAATGACTCCACCCCTATCTCGGCCACCTCCTCCTCGTCATCCCCTTCATCCTCCTCATCTTCCTCCTTTTCCTCCAAGTCGCCACCAACCTAAAAGGGTCTAGAGGCGGAGCTCCGAGGTCCACCTCCGCGTTTTGGAGGAGGTCCATGAACGAGGATGGGGTTGCCATTTCCTCGAACACCTCGTGCGTGGCGGGAGGAGGTTCGACGACGGTGGCGGGCGGGGCCGCGGCCGCGGCGGCGGGCTTCTTCCGCGGCTTCTTCACGGACGGGGATGAGCCGACAACCTTGGCCGAAGCCCCTCGAGGCCCACGGCCGACCGCCTTCGGCCGGCTCTTCTTGGGGGCGGGCGCAGCGGCCGTGGCGGGGGCGGGCGCCGG